GGGGATTCTAGGCAGGGGCTCTACCACTGAGCCACACCCCAGCCCCTCACTGGGGGATTCTAGGCAGGGGCTCTACCACTGAGCCACACCCCAGCCCCTCACTGGGGGACTCTAGGCAGGGGCTCTACCACTGCACTAGGTCTGCAGACCCCCACTGGTCCGTGCCGGGCAAAAGTTCCACTGCTGAGCTAGATATACCCGTGCTCTCTGTGTGCTGCGTGGTGCATGAATGTGTTTGTATGGATGTGTGCATGTGAGTGTCATGTTCAGAGACAGGTGTCAGGTGTCTTCCACAATTTCTGTTCACCTTGTTTTATTTTTTTGGTTTTTCGAGACGGGGTTTCTCTGTGTAGCTTTGCGCCTTTCCTGGAACTCACTCTGTAGCCCAGGCTGGCCTCGAACTCACAGAGATCCACCTGCCTCTGCCTCCCGAGTGCTAGGATTAAAGGCATGCGCCACCACCGCCCGGCTCACCTTGTTTTAAAGGTTTGTTTTTATAACGTGTCATGTATGCATGTGAGTTTCAGGTACCTGAGGTCAGAGGTCAGAGGTGTCTGAATCGCCTGGAGCTGGTGTTACAGGTGGTTGTGAGTTACCTGAAATGGATGCTGGAACCGAACTCAGCCTCCTGCAAGAGCAGTGTGTCACCGCTGAGCCATCTCTTCAGCTCCAGTCCCCTCGGCTTTTGAGACAGCGTCTCTCCCCGGCACAGCTGGGCTGGCAGGGCAGTGAGCCCCAGATGCACCTGCTTTTGTCTCTCTGGCTCTGGGATTACAGATTGTGTGTCACTGTGACAAACTTTCCCGTGAGTGCCGGGGACCCCAACTCACACGCTCATGCTTGCGAGGCAGGTCCTTCATTGACAGAGCCTTCATGCTCTGTCTCCAAAGGGTTTCTTTTGTTGGCCTTACATTTGATCTCAGCTGAACGGTCAAGAAGCAATCAGTTTTTTTACCCTTTATTCTGGAACAAGATCCCAATCACTTGCCCAGGGTGGCCTGGAATTCACTGTGTAGCTCAGGTTGACCTTGGGGGTTTGATCCTCCTGCCTCAGCCTCCCAAGTCACCGGGATGTCAGGCCTGTACCGACAGCTCTAGCTTCTTTATTAGGCATTTATTAATCTCCTAATTAATGAATTACTGAATTATTAATCTCCGTCCTAATTCTCCAAGTGTTGTGATGATCAGCATCTCAGATGAAGACGGTGGAGGAGCCAGCGAGGAGGCTCTCGGGGGTAAGGTACTTTCTGCTGAGTCTGAGTTCTATCCTCAAGACTCACAAGGCAGAAGGAAAACACGCCCAAGTCAACCTGGGTTACCTGATGAGTTTCAGGGCAACCAGAAATGCTCCATGCGACCCTGTTTCCAAAACACAAACAAACATCATCTTGAAGCAAATAGCTGGACAACCTCAGGGTTTCCGAATCAGTGGGTCTGAGGACTGGGCCAAATTTTGCATGTCTGATAAACTCCCAGATGATGCTCTGCTGCTTCTCAGCATCGAATTTTGAGAAACCACTCTTAGGAGAAGACACAGGCGAGTCTCTCTTAGAGAGGTCCATCCACGCTCCTGCTTTTGAGTGTCTTACTTTCTTCTGAGCTGGAGTATTTTTTCTCTTAACTGTCATGCCTATATTAAACTATCCTCATTAAACCTCAACTCTGGCCAGGCAGTGGAAGTGCACACCACCCACCCAACACTCAGGAGGCAGAGGCAGGAGGATCTCTGTGAGTTTGAGGCCCCCCTGGTCAACAGAGCGAGTTCCAGGACAGCTAGGGCTACACAGAAAAACCAAAAGCAACAGTCACAACAGAAAACAATTCCAGAGAGGAGCAGGGAGAATGTGAATACATGCAGGTGGCCAGTGCATTTGAGCCGTCGGAGCGGGGAGAATGTGAATACATGCAGGCGGCCAGTGCATTTGAGCAGTCGGAGCGGGGAGAATGTGAATACATGCAGGCGGCCAGTGCATTTGAGCAGTCGGAGCGGGGAGAATGTGAATACATGCAGGTGGCCAGTGCATTTGAGCAGTCGGAGCGGGGAGAATGTGAATACATGCAGGTGGCCAGTGCATCTGAGCAGTCAGAGCGGGGAGGAAGAGGTGCTGATGGGCTGCAACCCCGTGTGACCCTTGGACCCAGCCCAGAGGCATCTGGCCAAGGGGGAAGTGGAGGCTGGAATCTTCCTCGTCATCTCTTTGCTCTGTCCTCATGGCCTGCAATTTCTGACGACTGTTTCTGCTGATGTGAACAAAGACTCTGTACTTGAAACAGGAACTTGGATCTGAAGGAGTCAGACGTGTGGGGTAGCCTACAGGAGGAACTCAACGTGTAGACTGGAAGGTTTCAAACAAAAGAGATAAAATTCCATGCCTAAAGGATCCCTCTCGAGCACGGATAAGCAAAATGTTGCATAGTCATATGATGGGATCTTATTTAGTCCTGTTCTTTGTGGTGCTGGAATGAGAGCAGAGTCTTGAGCATCTTTAGCTTTGTGATACTAAGCCATGTTCCCAGACTTTGTTTTTGTTTGTTTTATTTTTAAGTTGCGTGCCTGGAGATATAGTTCAGCAGTTATGAGTGTTTATGTGTTTGCACCTGCAAACACATAAATTAATTTTTTTTTTTCGAGACAGGGTTTCTGTAGTCCTGGCTGTCCTGGAACTTGCTCAGTAGACCAGGCTGGCCTTGAACTCACAGGCATCTGCCTGCCTCTCTGCCTCCCGGGTGCTGGGATTAAAGGTGTGAGCCACCACGGACCAGCTATAAATTAATTTTTAACAACTAAATTTTATAACACACATTGTAAATATATAACATATTCAGTGTATGCACGTGCTGTATGTCAAAGGACAACTTGTGTAGGTGAATTCTTTTCTTCTACCATGTGCCAGAATCTAAGACTGTCATACTTGGCAGCAAGCACCTTTTACCAGCTGAACCATCTCACTGTTTTTTTGAGACAGAGTCCAGTGTAGCCCAAGCTGGCCTCAAACTCACTGTCCAGCCAAGGAGGAAATCTTGACCTCCTGATCTTCCTGTATCCACCTCCCAAGTGCTGAGATTACAATTTTCAGTTTTACAAAGGAAGGAAATTGGGCCACTGAGACGGCTCAGTGGATAAAGGCGCCTGTGGTCAAGCCTGATGTCCTGATTTTGACCCCCAGTCTCCACTTGGTGGAAAGAAAACGAACTCCTGAAAGTTGTCCTCTGTCCTCTACATACAACCTGTGACATTCAAACACTCCAGCCCCCGTGACACACACACACATCACAATAAATGTGCACAGGAAAAAACAATATAAATAGACATGAAAATAGAACGGGGTATGGCAGTACACACTTGTAATTCCAGCATTCTGGAGGCAGAGGCAGGAGGACCATCCTTGTCTACATAGTGAGTTTGAGACTAACCTGGGCTACAAGAGACTCAGTCACAAAGGGTTTTAAAAGTATATATGAAGCCGGGTGGTGGTGGCTCACACCTTTAATCCCAGCACTCTGAGGCTGGTGGATCTCTGTGAGTTCAAGGCCAGCCTGGGCTACCAAGTGAGTTCCAGGAAAGGCACAAAGCTGCACAGAGAAACCCTGTTTCGAAAAAAAAAAAAAAAAAAAAGGTATATATGAAATGAATCCAACTGGAATGTGAAATACACCCTGATGTCCTGATTTTGACCCCCAGTCTCCACTTGGTGGAAAGAAAACAAACTCCTGAAAGTTGTCCTCTACAAGGACAGGCAAGGCAAGGAATGTGGTATCATAGGCTCTAAAAATAGAGAAGCGGTTTGTGTGACTGTCACACGTAACACCAGCGGTGGGATAGGATCAAGTTCAGCAGCCACGGGGTAGAAGGTGGGTCACCGAGTTCTAAATGAGCTAGTAGAGAGCTGGAGAAGCTAGGAGAAAGGTCTCGTCTATCTACGGATTTGGTAAGGACAACAGCAACTTCTGCTTTATGTACGCCTGCCTCTGCCCGCCACTGTCACCCCTTTCAAAGTCCAATGAGGAGGGGAGAGTCTCTAAGCTGTCTGGTCCACTTGCTAGTAAGAGCCATCCATCATGGACTGGAGAGATGGCTCCGTGGTTAAGAGCTGCTCTTCCAGAGGTCCTGAGGTCAATTCCCAGGAACCACATGGTGGCTCAACCATCTATTATGGGATCTGATGCCCTCTTCTGGCGTGCAGGCATATGTGCAGACAGAGCACGTAAAAATACTACACAAAACAAAACAACACAAAAAAACCCTGTAACGGGAAGATGAGGGTGAGGAGGAAGAGGCGGTGTGTGTGTGTGTGTGTGTAGATATTATGGCAAAGATGTTAAGAGCACAGGCTATTCTTCTAGAGGACCCGGATCCAATCCCCAGCACCCACATGGTCACAACAGTCTGTAACTACCGTTCTACAGGGGATCCCACGCTACCTTCTGGCCTCCGTGGGTGCCGCTTGCACGCGGTGCACAGATTCACCTGCAGACAAAACACCCACTCACATTACAAAGAAAAACAAACCCAAAACCTTCTTCCCGTTTCTGAGGTGGGGAAACGAAGGTTGTAGTCTGTCCGATGAGGCTATACAAGGGCCGCTTGACAGGCAGCATTCTCCCTGTTCACAAGAGGGGAAACTGAGGCCAGGGAGCGGGCGGTACGGGCTGAGCTTTAGTCTAGTACTGGAGAGGGCGGGCGAGACGGCCACCGTCGTCCAGGAGACGGATCGCCCGCTGATGACTGGGGGAGAACTCGGGCCTGGCCTCCTCGACCTCCTCTACCGGCGCTCGAAAGTCCGGGAGGCCGAACTCCAAAGTGTGCAGCCGCCACCGGTTTCCACGGCAACGACACCACGGATGCCCCCTGTCCCTCCCCCGACACGTCTGCGCATGCCCGAGGTCCTCCGGCGGGGCGTCTCGTAGTGAGGGAGGGCAGAGGGGAGGAAATACCACGCGAAACATGGGAGATGTGGTCCAAAATTAGAAGCGCCCCTTTCGCAACGGGGTGCCAAGAGGGAGCAGGTTGGCTTCTGCACATCTTGAGAAACGTAGTTTCTGGGCAGGCAGAGATGGCTGACTCCGGACGCACCGGCGCACGAGAGTCATCGCAGTGACGGCCAATGGGAAGCCGCTTTTTGTCGCGATGCTTCTTGGAAGTTGTAGTTCCCAGCTGGCCGAGGAGGAGGCGGCGGCGGCGAGTTGTTGGGTAGAACGGGCGATTCCGAGTGTTGGGGTGAGGGGACGTGGGGGCGGGGGAGGGACGGGTGAGTTTGGCGCAAAGCCTGCTGGGGCATGGAGTCCGGGTGAGCCTTGTGCGCATGTGCGGGAAGGTGAGGGTGCTTGGGGGGCCTCGCCCTGGAGAGTGAGGTGAGCTAGGGGGAAAGGGAGGGAGAGACTGGGGGGGAGATCGGGTGTGCGAGGGACAGGCGGGCCACGGGGAGGGGTGCCCGGATCTGGAGGAGGGAGAGAGGGAAGGAGGGATGGGCGGCTTGGGGGGGAGGGAGATGATAAAGAGGCTGGGGCGGGTGGGGCTGCGGGGGGCGGGCCGGGGAGCGGGAGGGGACGCGAGGTGCAGGCGCGGGAGAGCTGGAGGCCTGGGGAGGCTGGGCCGTGGGAGGGGGCGGGGGTGCTCGAGGTGGAGCCCGGGGGTGGTTGTCCCACCCTGCCGGGGAAGCCCGGGTCGCCGGGACCTTAACCCCTTTGAAAAGGATTGCGAGGAAAGCGTTCTTTCGGGGCCACCGTGCCGCAGCGTCGGTGGCAGGTGCCTCGTCCTGTGCGCTGCTCACAAGTTCACGTGCACTTCCCGTCGAGTTGAGATTTTGGAGGATAAGGACCTGCACCGTGCATTTCTTTATTAAAAGAGGACCCGCCTCGTTAGCTTGTCCCGAGAGAGGCGAAATTCGTTAATGTGCAGAAGGGGCTTGGAGACTGATTTTAACGGGATAAGATGGACTTACTCTTTGGGTTCTGATCCCCCTGGCTCGGCCTCCCAAGTGCTGGAGTTACCAGCGCTGGCCCAGCTTTTTTGTTTTGTTTCGTTTTGTTTTGTTTTAGGCAAGGTCTTGTGTAGCTCAGGTAGTCACACTGGCTGCGTAGCCAAGCCAAGCCTTGAACTCTTCCCGTTCTTCCTGTCTTCACCCCGAGAAAATGCTAAATAAAAAGAAATGCATCACAACATCCGTTTTCTTATACCCCATTTTAACACTTGCTCCAAATTATATTTTAGTCTTGGGCGCTTGTTTCACAGTGGTTCAGTGGTTTTACAGAACTCTTCACAAGGAGCTTGTGGGTAAATGCAAATTTAAGCACCTAGGTGGTTTGTGAGTTTGCTTATTGCCGGGTGCTTTTCTGGGTACTTTTTAAAAAAATGATTTTTATTTTATGTGCAATGGTGTTTTGCCTGCGTGTGTGTCTGTTGACTCCCCTGGAACTGTGAGCTGTCATTCGGGTGCTGGGAATTGAACCCGGGGGTCCTCTGGAAGAGCAGCAGCCAGTGCTCTTAACCGCTGAGCCATCTCTCCAGCATTGCTCTGGATACTTTTGTGCTCTTTATTTTACATGAATCTCCCCAGCCTGGATTGTTGCCCCCATTTTACAGCCACGGGCATGGAGATAGTGTGTGAAAAGTGCAATTGTTCTTTGACCAAGGACACATTGCTGGTAGGTGGCTGGGATTTGCTCCACTTCTGCAGCTCTTGTCCTCTGAGTAAATATTTGGTGTGCTGTGTAGCTGAGGGCACAGAGTCCCAAGTGCAGATTCCTGGCCCTTTGAAGGACCATTGAGTGTAGGGGTGTGAGGTGCAAGAAGGACACACCGAAAGTTATACACTTCCTGGAATAAAAGTACAAAGAAAACAACCCCCAAACGGACGGTGGGGAGATGGCTCAGTGGGTAGAGCTGAGGACCTGAGTTTGGATCGGTACTCAGGTCAAGTTTGCGCATAGGGACACCTCTGTGTGTGCTCACTGGCTCGTCAGAGGAAGCAGCAAGCTGTGGTTCAGTAACAGACTTAAAATAATAAAGACACCCAACCTCAACCTCGGGCCTCCACGGGCAATTTGCACTGAGGGTGCACGCTCCCCCCCGCCCCCCAAATCGATAGCTTGGAGAAAGCGAAAAGCAGAAAAAGCACTCAGAGATAATTGAATGGGGACCCAGAACTCCTCACAAAACTCCTCCTCCCGTGGTGGCTTGGACCTTAGGCAAGAAGTCAGCCGTCCATCCTTTGGGGTCAACCAAAGAGGAAATATTTAACCTTTGTAGTATTCAGTTTAACCAGTTTGTTGGCCAAGAGTTGCTGTCTGTGGCTTGGAACTCAGCATGTGTCACGCAGAAAGTCTAGTCACCAGCCAGTGTCACTAATTGACTCTGGAGGTTTGTAAGCTCTGTGTGGGGGAAGGAAGAGCTAACTCTTTATCTCCCGGACCCCGCTTCTCCTGTGAGGCAGGTTTCGGTCCCCCACCCCTAACCCCCATCGCTTCAGCTTTAGGGCTACAATCAGTTACAAGCAGTCTGTGGTCGTTATTACCCGCTGGAGTTTATGTTCGATCTGCTCCCTGACTGCCAGCACCTGAACATGAGCTCCGGTCAGCTTGGAGGTTTTTCATCTAGACCTTTTGACTTTTCTGCACCCGCCCTACCCACCCCACAAGGCCCAGCTGTGGAGGTCTGCAGGCTCCTGTCTTGGGTGCAGCTACTGGGGATATGAAGGACACACCTCACTGAAGTGGACTGTTATCTCCATTGTCTTAGCCTCATCCACGGGTGTGTTGTCTTTCCATCTGGCTTTAGGCTGTCCACTTCAGGTCATAAATCCGGATATTCTCTATTTTACTTTTATAATTTATTTGTTTTTATTTTATGTGCATTGGTGGGTGTTTTGCCTACATGCATATTTGTGTGAGGTACCAGATCCCCTGGAACTGGAGTTACAGACAGTTGCGAGCTGCCATGTGGGTGTTGGGAATCGAACCCGGGTCCTTTGGAAAAGCAGCCAGTGCTCTTAACTTCTGAGCCATCCCTCCAGCCTGGATTTTCTCTTTATTGCAGGAATTGGGTCTTGCCTCGAAGGAAATCCCCTTTCCCTTGATCTAGACACGAGAGACATCTGCTGTGGGCTTTTATAAGGGGGTTACTGACTGCTCACACCATTTGTCAGAGGAAAATACTGTATTGATAGGCGTGTCTTCCAGGCTTCCTGGGAGGAAGAGGGCTGTGGAGGGAGCCCTTTCCCAGTCTTCCTGCCTAGCATCCGTACCACAGTGGCGCTCAACCAGGGTTAGTTGTTTGTTTTTCATCATATCAGAAAGGCCTTCATTTGGGAAAATTGATGTGTAGTTTATGGTGAGTTTTGCTTTCAGACAGTAAAGCCACAGAATGCAGCCTAATTCAGCTCAGAGACAAACGGCTGAGGGGCTGGTGACATGGGTCAGTGGTTAACAGCACTTGTTGCTCTTGTAGATGACCAGGGTTCATATACATACACACACACACACACACACACACACACACACACACACACACACACACATATATATACACATATATATATATATACACACAGTTTATTTTTACGTGCATCGGTGTTTTGTCTGCATTCATGCCTATGTTAGGGTATGAGAAATCCTGGAACTGGAGCTATAGGCAGGTGTGAGCTGCCATGTGGGTGCTGGGAATTGAACCTGGATCCTCTGGAAGAAGAACAGCCAGCGTTCTTAACTAGTGAGCCACCTCTCCAGCCCAGATGACCAGGATTGAAATCCCATCCATCACCTGTATGGTGGCTAAAACAGTCCATAACTCTAATTTTAAAACAAAGCATCCTGTGAAAGGCTTGCTCTATTTGTTTATTTTGTGTGTTTCTGTGGGGTGAGGAGGATCGGACCTGAACATACCTTGGCATACATAAGGGTTGTCAGAGGACAACTTGAAGGAGTCAGTTCTTTCCTGTTACTGTGGGGCCTGGGGCTCAAACTCAGGTCCTTAGCATACAAGTAAGCACCTTTACCCACTGAGCCATCTCGCCGGCCCCTGGCATGTTCTTACTCTTTGTAGGAGTCCTTTTCACATGTCAGGTACTCGGTCTCCGCCTTTGGAGTGATTTCAGCTACCGAATCATCAACAGTCATGTGGAGTAGTGTCTTTTTCTTTACCGCTTTACGGGGTACCGTTACTTCATCCTCTGAGCTGTATCGGTTAATCCAGCTCTCAGCAGCTCTTTATTAAAAATTAAAATATAATTACATCATTCTCCCCGTTTTTCCCTCAATACCTTGCATATTTCCCATACTGCCAAACTGCTCTTGTTCTTTTTGACTGTATATATGCATGCGAGTGTGTGTGTATGTGTATACATACACACATACCATATAAACATACACATATATATATACACACATACATAACTGTAAACACAACCTGCTCAGTCTGTTTGGTGTTGCTTGGGTGTATATGAATTCAGGGCTAACCATTTGGTATTGTAAAACCAATTAGGGGACTCATCCCTGAGAGAGGCTAATTCTTCCTCTCTCAACAGCCATCAGTTGCCTGTAGTTCTTTGTCTAGGGGTGGGATTCTGTGGGATTTCCACCTTCTGGGTTAGCATATGTGATGAGTTTGTCACCGTTCCGGTCTGATTTAGGCAGTGTGGCGGGCACTGTCTTCCTGTGGGTTAGTTAGCAAGTTCTTGGTGCCAGTTTCAGAGTGCCGAATCTGTAGGACGTTCTTTGCTGTGACTTAACAAGAAGTCAAGGGCTCCTAACCTTAGACACAGTGTCACCATGGAAACGGTACTCCTGTCTCAGTGCTCCTGACAGGGCCTCAGGAGTTCCAGGCCAGTGCTTCTTTCTCATCCTTGGCACAGTTGACACACGATGCCGCATGGCTTATGTTTGGAGAGTATCCTGTGTGTCCCAGGGTGTTCAGTTGTGTCTCTGACCTGTACCCTTCAGCCACCAGCAGCACTGTCCACTCCCCCTTCTGTCCGACAATCAGAGTGTCCCCAGGTCCTGCCGGATATCCCCTGGGAGTCACACCACCTCCCAGGTTTGGAGCCATATCCTCATCTGCCCTCTGCCTTCAGGGACTGGGAAGGGAAGGAAGGGCGGCTGGCTTCCTTGGGGTTGGAGGTATTGCGAGGAAAACACATGCAGACAGGTACTGGGGGACACTTGGCCGCTGGCCACATTTGCCAGCTCTCAAACAGTTAGGGACCTACTGTTGCAGGGTTTGTGTCCCCCCAGAATTCATGGGCTGTAACCCCAGCCCCCAAAGTGGCTGTAGGGGGTGGTTATGGAGTCACGGAGAGAACCTCACTCTTGGGATTAGTGTCCTCTTAAAAAAGAGAGGAGTTGGCGTGGAGGTGCATACCTGAGATCTTAGCACTGGGGAGGCTGAAGCAGGAAGGTCAGAAGTTCAAGGTTATCCTAGGCTACATAGTGAGTGAGAGGCCAGCCTGGGCCATGTGAGACTCAAAAAAAAAAAGTCAGAAACTGGTTGGAATCTTGCAGTAATCAGGTAGTAAGTGTTAGGGCAGGTAGTAGCCCACATCTGAGCACTTACTACAGGCCAGGTGACATGTGTGTGTGCTATACATGTCTGGGTGCCCAGCGAGGCCGGAATGGAGTCAGATCCCCTGGAGCTGGAGTTAAGGCAGTTGTGAGCCACCCAGTCTGGGTGCTGGGAGCAGATCCTGTGGAACAGCAGTAGGTGCTCTTAACTGCTAAGCATCTCTAATCACGCTTCCCGTTTTTAAAAAAAAGGCATTTAGGAGCATATATTAACTATGTTAATAATGGCATATATGTATATAATGTGTTTTAATCATATTCACATGAGCTTCATAAGCCTCTCGTGTCCTCCGGTCACTTCCACTTCTCAAATTGTCTCCCTTCTTTTGTGTATTTTTCTCTTTTTTGTTCCAGCCCTGCGAGTTGAACTGGGTCCCTTACCTGAGCATGGATGAGGGGTTATTGACAGGAGTGTAGACAGTGTAGTAGAAGAAAATGTCTGTAGGCAACAGTTAGCTGCCTGTGGGTCCACAGGGCCGGGTAGACCTTGTGAGCCCCTCTCCCGTAGCACCTGTTAGCTGCCTGTGGGTCCACAGGGCCGGGTAGACCTGTTAACTGCCTGTCAGCCTCATGGAGGCTCAGGGTCTTGCGCCCTCCCCTCTCCAGAGAGAGAATGTTGATGGGCCAAGACTTGGCAAGTAATCACAGCTGCTGGGAGTTCAGGGGTGCAGCTGGCATGTGTTCCACAGCACGCCACCCCTTTCTCTGGCTCCTACATTCTTTCTTCCCTCTCCAGTTCCTGTACCCCGAGCCTTGGAGGGAGTGATACAAATGTCCCACTTAGAGCTGAGCATTCAAAAACTACTTACAGACAGGGCGGTGGTGGCGCACACCTTTCCCAGCACTCAGGAGGCAGAGGCAGGCAGGGCTCTGAGTTTGAGGCTAGCCTGGTCTGCAGAGCAAGTTCCAGGATAGCCAGGGCTACACAGAGAAACACTGTTTTGAACCCCCCCCCCCCCAAAAAAAAAAAAAAGACATGTATCCTTAGCACCTTGGCCATCTGAGACTCTGCAGTAATGGCTTGCTGCAGAAGAAGCTTCCCTGGCCACAGCCAGCAGCAGCTCCAAGCCGCGTGGGTGTGAACATAGGTCTTCCCAAGGCAGTTGGACAGGCACGGCACGTCTGTGTAGCCGGGCAGCAACAGCAGCTTCCTCACTCCGGCCTGTGGCATTTCCAGCCCTGGACTTCTGACTGGGTCTGTGTAACAGGTGTGAATTCCCTCTCCTGGGGGTGGGCCCCAAGTCCAGTCAGAAACCGTGGGTCCCCCTGTATCTGTCAGGCTGCTGTCGCGCCAGTGGGTGCATCTTCATGGCTGGCCGGTAGTGTGGCTCCTCCTTGTGTTTTCTTAGATATCCGCAAGGAAACTACGGAGAAGGAGGATCTGCCAGACCGAGGTTGCCCCAGGAGAGGGGCAAGACCAGGATCAGAGTCTAGTTCTCTCTCCATCTCTCTCTTTCTTTGAATTTTAATAAAATCTCTTTTATTTTTTTCCCTACTTTTATTGAAAATAGATTTTATTTTCTTGCAGTATATTCTGGTTATAGTTTCCCTTCTATAAATGTTTCAGCTCTGAGGGGAACGGCTTCCCCAACAGAAGTTGGCAGCTCTGAAGGGAAAGGTGTCCTGGCCGTTGGGAGCCAAGGAACACCGTAAGATCACACCGCACAACAAACCTCACACAAGAGATTTATCGGGAGACACACAAGAGGGTGGCCGCTCTGCTCAGGGGAGAAGTGGCCCGGAACTAAGGGGGAGGCAGGCTTTAAATAGGGTTCCTTGGAAGGGGGAGGGGCGGGTTCCGGGTTGACACACAGTGCTTTCCAGGGTGGGGATTGGTGGGATTTCAAGTCCTGAGCTTGGACGGGCTCAGGGAGGGATTGGTGGGTTTTCAAAACATGGACGTGAACTCAGACTTTTTAACCTTACACCTTCCCCCAACTCCCCTCTCGTCCCAGTTGACACTCTGTCTCTTGTTAGAAAATAAACAGGCATCTAAAGAATAGTAATAAAATGAGATAAAACAAGTCCGAACAGGACAAAACAGACAAATAGAAGAAAAAGAACCAAAGGAAAAGCACAGAGACAGGAATCCCATAAAACACAAAACTGGAAATCAATATATATATGCAATAAAAATGATGAATAAAACATCAAATAAAAATAAGTTCAAACATGTCCTGACTAAACATCATTAGACAAAGAACCTCCAAAAATGCCAGGGAGTTCATTTTCTGTGGCCATCTATTTATTGCTGGACATGGGGCCTGCCCTTAAGAGTGGTTTGTAGGCCAGTTGGTGGTGGCACACACCTTTAATCCCAGCACTCAGGAGGCAGAGGCAGGAGGATCTCTGAATTTGAGGCCAGCCTGGTCCACAGAGTGAGTTCCAGGACAGCCAGGACTACACAGAGAGACGCTATCTCCAAAAACAAAACAAAACAAAAGAGTGGTTTGTTTACCCAGTGAAACTGTTGGGGAAAACTAAATTAATTTGCAGGGGTTATCAGTCGAAGATAGCTTCTGGGTTAGGGATGGGGCACGTGTCCACTTTCAGCTCTGGGACCCCATCTGGCACAGACCCATGCAGGCCCAGTGCATGCTGCCACAGTCTGAGCTCATGTGTGTCACGTTGTGTCTGGAAGGCACTGTTTCCTCGGTGGCCTCTGTCCCCTCCGGCCCTTACAGTCTCTCTGCTGCCTGAGCTGTGTGTGTGTGTGTGTGGGGGGGAGAAGATGGAGGCATCCCGCTTAGGACTGGCTGTTCCCAGGCCTCCCACTCTGCACTCTGGCCAGTTGTGGGTCTCTGTGTTTGTTCCCGTCTACTGCGGGAGGAAGTTTCCATGATGGTGGCTGAGCAAGGCACCAGTCTATGAATATAGCAGAATGCCATTAGGAGGCATCTTATCGCTATGTTCCTTTAAAAGAACAATAGGATTTGGTTTCCCCCTAGGTCCCTGGCCTGTCTAGCCTCAGGTTCTTGGCCACCTGAGCAGTGTCGGGGATAGGCTCCATCTCATGAAACAGGCCTTCAGTCCCGTCAGACTGGGGGGTGACTCCCACAGCTTAGCGCCGCTGCGGCTGCTGCCCCAAGGCCTCCTGCAGGCAGACGGTCTCTGGACACGGGAGGCTTTGTGGCTGGGTTTGTGTTTACCTTCTCCTCGGGCACGGTGCAGAGTATGTTCCAGTACGGTGAACGCCAGTCCCAGGGGCGAAGGCCCCAGGTAGGCACCAGCTCAACTCTGTCCGTGTCCAGTGAGTTGTGTAGGTGTTGGTCTTTAGCAGTAGGGCCGTACTGTCGGCGTGTGGAGAGCAGCCAGTAGCCTTGGCAATGGACTGGATTGTTTGGGGGTCCCCATGGGGCCCCTTTGGTCAACACCTGGATGAGAGGTAACCCACCCCTGGTACAGGAAGCTTCATTTGGTGACAGGAGATGCCCAGTTGGGGCTCCATCTCCCCTGTTACTTGGACACACACACACACACAGACACACACACACACACACAGACGCGCACACATACACGCACACACACACACACAGACACACACACACACACACACACAC